GGTGAGATGGTCTGACTGTGGTGAGATGGTCTGACTGTGGTGAGATGACCTGACTGTGGTGAGATGCTCCAACTGTGGTGAGATGACCTGACTGTGGTGAGATGATCTGACTGTGGTGAGAGGTTCTTTAGCCGAGGCTGTGTTGTCTGGCGTGATTAAGGCCAAAGTCAGGTCTCTGTTTGTCTGCTGATGAAGAGCAGCTCTGCTGAAATCTTCCTCTGAATGACATCATCACTCCATGAGGCATGAAGCTGTGTGTGTTTGTGTGTTAGCCATTTTGCTTCTTGATGAATTGTGTTCATGTCTTATTCCTTCCATGACCTTGACTGACCTTTGTTTTGGTAAATGTGTGCAGCAGAAATGGACAAGCAGAGTAACAGGACATTGAACTCCCTGGTCCAAACACCAGGACCAGTAGAAACCATGTCAGGATCTTCTGGTCTGAATGAAGTCCTCTTCATCGGTTCTCTGGTCTGTAGGGTTCATATTTGGATGCATAACTCCATTTGAATTTCCAGTTCTGGTTCTGGTTGGTTCCTCCTGTCTTCCTGTTTTGTTTTGTCTCTGGTGAGATGACCTGACTGACTGGTGAGATGGACTGATTGTGGTGAGATGGTCTTACTGTGATGAGATGGACTGACTGTGGTGAGATGGTCTGACTGGTGAGATGACCTGACTGTGGTGAGATGGACTGACTGTGGTGAGATGGACTGACTGTGTTCAGATGGTCTGACTGTGATGAGATGAACTGACTGTGGTGAGATGGACTGACTGTGGTGAGATGACCTGACTGTGGTGAGATGGTCTGACTGTGGTGAGATGGACTGATTGTGGTGAGATGGTCTGACTGTGGTGAGATGACCTGACTGTGATGAGATGAACTGACTGTGCTGAGATGGGTTGACTGTGGTGAGATGGTCCAACTGTGGTGAGATGGTCTGACTGGTGAGATGACCTGACTGTGGTGAGATGGACTGACTGTGGTGAGATGGACTGACTGTGTTCAGATGACCTGACTGTGGTGAGATGGACTGACTGTGGTGAGATGAACTGACTGTGGTGAGATGGTCTGACTGTGGTGAGATGGTCTGACTGTGGTGAGATGGTCTGACTGTGGTGAGATGGTCTGACTGTGGTGAGATGAACTGACTGTGGTGAGATGACCTGACTGTGGTGAGATGGTCTGACTGTGGTGAGATGAACTGACTGTGGTGAGATGGTCTGACTGTGGTGAGATGACCTGACTGTGGTGAGATGATCTGACTGTGGTGAGATGAACTGACTGTGGTGAGATGACCTGACTGTGGTGAGATGACCTGACTGTGGTGAGATGATCTGACTTTGGTGAGATGACCTGGCTGTGGTGAGAGGTTCTTTAGCCGAGGCTGTGTTGTCTGGCGTGATTAAGGCCAAAGTCAGGTCTCTGTTTGTCTGCTGATGAAGAGCAGCTCTGCTGTAATCTTCCTCTGAATGACATCATCACTCCATGAGGCATGAAGCTGTGTGTGTTTGTGTGTTAGCCATTTTGCTTCTTGATGAATTGTGTTCATGTCTTATTCCTTCCATGACCTTGACTGACCTTTGTTTTGGTAAATGTGTGCAGCAGAAATGGACAATCAGAGTAACAGGACATTGAACTCCCTGGTCCAAACACCAGGACCAGTAGAAACCATGTCAGGATCTTCTGGTCTGAATGAAGTCCTCTTCATCGGTTCTCTGGTCTGTAGGGTTCATATTTGGATGCATAACTCCATTTGAATTTCCAGTTCTGGTTCTGGTTGGTTCCTCCTGTCTTCCTGTTTTGTTTTGTCAATCCTGGTTCTGATGGTTTCTTTTGGGGCGGCTGTGGCTGAGTGGTTAGAGCAGTCATCCTCCAATACGAGAGTTTGGGGTTTGATTCCAGCAGCAGTCACATGCTGAAGTGTCCCTGGGTAAGACACTGAATCCTCACAGCCTCTGATGTGTGTCCCATCAGTGTCTGAATGTGATCTAAAGCACTGATTAGTCTTTAGAGATCTAGTATAGAGCTGGATGAATGGGTGCATGAGGCACAGATTGTTGTGAAGAGCTTTGAGTGTGTTGATCAGACAGAAAGGAGCTGTATAGGTGCAGTCCATTTCTGCAGCAAACCCTCATGTACACAGACGTGCGGGGATTTCCTACTGAAACTCGGCGCACGCTTAAATCAAGAAAACGGGGTACGCACGATTTAATCCAGATGTTTGAAACCGTGCGTACGCATGAATCCAAGCGCACTTCCTGTGTACAGTCAACGTGGGCACGAGGGAATACCTGACTCCTCCCTCGACACGCCTCCTTTTAAATATACAAAATCGAACAGCACGTCTCCATGCAGGAGAAGGAGAACTTCACTGAATGTGAGGTGGAGATGCTTGTAATGAGGTGGAGGGACGTGAAAACATCGTTATCCTCTGGCGTTAGCTCCAAGCTAAGAGCCGTGAGTGGGACAGTGTGTGCAGGTCCTGTGGGGTCAGAGCAGCACACCCACAGGAAGTAAGAACAAATGGTCTCACATGTTAGCGTGGCTGAATGAATTCAGTCACCAAGAAGCCCCCCATCCTGCACCGTGCCAGCATTTTGTCTGTTCCAACCACGCTGTCCATCAGAATGAATGGTGTGGAACCAGGACACCTCTCCAGCATGTCGGCTGGTTGCTTTAGGTCGGTGTCACAGCTCGTAGTCCGGTAGGCTCAGTTCGGCTGGGGACCAGTATTCAGAACATTTGTTTACCTTGTGACCTGAAGTCATCTTCAGGCTTTCCACCCCCCACGGATGTTGCTGTCCTCAGCTGGTCTTCCATCTTCTTCCTGTAGATGTTTTCTCCGTCCCTGATGGAACAAAGCTGGTTCCGTTAGCGTGCTGTGGTGTTGTGCACGGAGGGCGAGGCCGACACTTCGTTGTTTCCTCAGTAAATAAATCAGGCCAGATGATGGCACTACTTTCCTTTTGGTCATATTTAGTTCTTTATTAGCCTAAAAGTTCAGAAACACTCAGACTGGCTCTCACACACCTACGGGATTCCATCCATCCATCCATTTTCTTCCGCTTATCTGGGGTCGGGTCATGGGGGTAGCAGCCTAAGTAGGGATGCCCAGACTTCCCTCTCCCCAGCCACTTGGGCCAGCTCTTCCGGGGGAATCCCGAGGCGTTCCCAGGCCAGCTGAGAAACATAGTCCCTCCAGCGTGTCCTGGGTCTTCCTCTGGGCCTCCTTCCGGTGGGACGTGTCCGGAACACCTCACCAGGGAGGCGTCCAGAAGGCATCCTAAACAGATCCCAAGTCACCTCAACTGGCTCCTCTCGATGTGGAGAAGCAGCGGCTCTACTCCGAGTCCCTCCCGGATGATCGAGCTTCTCACCCTGTCTCTAAGGGAGAGCCCAGACACCCTGCGGAGAAAACTAATTTCGGCCGCTTGTATCCGAGATCTCATTCTTTCGGTCACAACCCAAAGCTCGTGACCATAGATGAGGGTAGGAACGTAGATCGGTCGGTAAATTGAGAGCTTCGCCTTTTGACTCAGCTTTCTCTTCACCACGACAGACCTGTACAGCACCCGCTTCACTGCAGACGCTGCACCTATCCGCCTATCGATCTCACGCTCCATTTTTCCCTCATTCGTGAACAAGACCCCAAGATACTTGAACTCCTCCACTTGGGGTAGGACCTCCTCCCTGACCCGGAGAGGGCACTATACCCTTTTCCGGCTCAAGACCATGGCCTCGGATTTGGAGGAACTGATCTTCATCCCGGCCGCGTCGCATTCGGCTGCGAACCGCTCCAGCGAAAGCTGTAGATCACCATCTGATGAAGCCAGTAAGACCACATCATCTGCAAAAAGCAGAGACGCAATCCTAAGGCCACCAAAACGGATCCCCTCAACACCTTGGCTGCGCCTAGAAATTCTGTCCATAAAAGTTATGAACAGAATCGTGACAAAGGGCAACCTTGGTGGAGTCCAACTCTCACCGGGAACAAGCCCGACTTACTGCCGGCGATGCAGACCAGGCTCTGACACCGGTCATACAGGGACCTAACAGCCCGTATCAAAGGGCCCGGTACCCCATACTCCCAGAGTATCCCCCACAGGGTCCCCCGAGGGACGCGGTCGAACGCCTTCTCCAAGTCCACAAAGCACATGTAGACTGGTTGGGCAAACTCCCACGCACCCTCCAGGACCCTACTGAGAGTGTAGAGCTGGTCCAGTGTTCCACGGCCAGGACCAAAACCGCACTGCTCCTCCTGAATCCGAGGTTCGACTATCAGACGGACCCTCCTCTCCAGAACCCCCGAATAGACCTTACCAGGGAGGCTTAAGAGCGTGATTCCCCTGTAGTTTGAACACACTCTACGGTCCCCCTTTTTGAATAGGGGGACCACCACCCCAGTCTGCCAATCCAGGGGAACTTCCCCCGATGTCCACGCAATATTGCAGAGTCACGTAAGCCAACACAACCCTACAACATCCAGAGCCTTAAGGAACTCTGGGCGAATCTCATCCACCCCTGGGGCCCTGCCACCGAGGAGCTTTTTAACCACCTCGGTGACCTCAGCACCAGAGATTGGAGAGCCCGACCCAGAGTCCCCAGGCTCCGCTTCCTCAGTGGAAGACGTGCCGGTGGGATTGAGGAGGTCTTCAAAGTATTCCGCCCACCGACCCACAACATCCCGAGTTGAGGTCAGCAGCACACCACTCCCACTATAAACAGTGTTGGTGGCGTACCGCTTTCCCCCCCTGAG